GGCCATTTATACGGGACAAAATAAGTCGCGACTTACATAAGACGCGTCTTAAATAAGCGGAGTTATCGCATAAATGGTTCTCTACGGCTTTGGTCTTATTTATTTGCTATAGCTATAATGTTGTTTTTTTTTGTTTTTTTTTAAAATGCAAGGCTAATAATTTTACGTTGTTTCAAGTTTCTGGCATGTGTAGTTAGGCTTTTTGTCCAAAATTTCTTATTTAAGACGCGACTTAGATAAGAACAGCTAAAAGGCCTGTTCTTATGTAAGACGCGTCTTATCCAAGACGCGTCTTACATAAGAATTTTGTACCTTTTATACGACAAACTCGCGTCTTACCTAAGTCGCGTCTTATGTAAGTCGCGTCTTATTTTGTTCCGTATAAATGGCCCTATTGTAGATGTGATATATATATATATATATATATATATATATATATATATATATATATATATATATATATATATATATATATATATATATATATATATATATATATATATATATATATATATATATATAAATATATATATATATATATAAACGTATTAGTGGACCATATTAGTAGTAATGATTATTTATGCTGTCATGCAGGTGTGGCGAAAAAGGTATTTTATGTTGAAAGGACGCGAATTGGTGTATGACAAAGGTGTAAGTAATTTTTTTAAAGGCGCGTTGAGACAATAGGGCCATTTATACGGAACAAACTAAGACGCGACTTACATAAGACGCGACTTAGGTAAGACGCGAGTTTGTCGTATAAAAGGTACAAAATTCTTATGTAAGACGCGTCTTGGATAAGACGCGTCTTACATAAGAACAGGTCTTTTAGCTGTTCTTATTTAAGTCGCGTCTTAAATAAGAAATTTTGGACAAAAGTCTAACTACACATGCCAGAAACTTGAAACAACGTAAAATTTAATGCCTTGCATATTAAAACATAAAACAAAAACAACCAAAACAACATTATAGCTATAGCAAATAAATAAGACCAAAGCCGTAGAGAACCATTTATGCGAGAACTCCACTTATTTAAGTCGCGTCTTATGTAAGTCGCGACTTATTTTGTCACGTATAAATGGCCCTAATGTAATCCATTGGAAAACTATACTTATTTCCAATGGATTACATTGTCCGCCTCGATTCCAAGCTATTGTTTCGTGTTCACTCAAGCAAATTCGGGAAGTGTCTATTTTTGTCCAAAATTTCTTATTTAAGACGCGACTTAAATAAGAACGGCTAAAAGTCCTGTTCTTATTTAAGTCGCGTCTTATCCAAGACGCGTCTTACATAAGAATTTCGTTCCGTTTATACGACAAACTCGCGTCTTATTTAAGTCGCGTCTTATGTAAGTCGCGTCTTATTTTGTCTCGTATAAATGGCCCTAATGTTTCCGCAACAATGTTTCCGCAACAATGTTTCCTAGTTTGCCCAGGGCTTAAGGGAAGGGTGTATTGCACGTGTCGGAAGAATTCCATGTGACTTACACGAGATCCTGGGGGACCATTTGTTCCTTTATCACCTTTGATCTGAAATTTAAAGAATTTTATTAAAAAAGGAACCAAATAATCAAACGGAAACTACAGGCCTCGATAACATTTTTTCGTGCCTGCGAGCGAAATTCAAAATGTGCCTGCAAAAACACATCTTATTTAGATTTTGTGACCTAAATATTGTTAAAATGTCAGTATTTTAAAATGTGCCTGCAAAAATGTAAAAGGTGCCTGCGAGCGGCGCTCGCGCACTTTATCGAGGCCTGTGAAAGTATGTCTATAACGAGACAAACACACATAATAAGTGTTTTTGGTCAACAACCAACTCCAGAATCTTAAGCACATCCAACAACACAAACAAACAAACCTACTTATACAATAAGTGACTCACCCAACAACAACGACATAGAATACTAAACAAACAAGCAAGCAAACAAACAAACAAACAAGTAACAAGCAAACAAACAAGCAAACAAACAAACAAACAAACACACAAACAAACAAACAAACAAACAAACAAACACACAAACAAACAAACAAACAAACAAACAAACAAACAAACAAACAAACAAACAAACAAACAAACAAACAAACAAACAAACAAACAAACAAACAAACAAACAAAACAAAACAAAACAAAACAAAACAAAACAAAACAAAACAAAACAAAACAAACGAAACGAAACGAAACGAAACGAAACGAAACGAAACGAAACGAAACGAAACGAAACGAAACAAACAAACAAACAAACAAACAAACAAACAAACAAACAAACAAACAAACAAACAAACAAACAAACAAGCAAACAAGCAAGCAAACAAGCAAGCAAACAAGCAAGCAAACAAGCAAACAAACAAGCAAACAAGCAAGCAAACAAACAAGCAAGCAAACAAACAAACAAGCAAGCAAGCAAACAAACAAACAAACAAACAAACATGCTTACATAGTAAGTGTTTCCATCAACAACGACGACAGTATCAGGAATCGCTTGAACATCAGCACGTTGAATATCATTGGGTGTAGAAGGTTGAGGTGGAACTTCAACGGGTTCAAGACCACGATTTTTTTTTGTTACTTTAGCTTTGCAATCTGTAAGGTCGTTACAGTATGACACAGCTTTACCAGGCTTGCCTGGAAGGATTGTTACTTCTTCAACCGAACCCTGGAAGTAATGGACAACTTGCATGTTAGACTAAATTTTATTCTAAGTAAAGAGAAGGGAATCAAACACCATAGCTAAAAAGAACGTAATGAAATTAGTAAAATTGCAAAATTTGGTTGCGAAATGATATTAAGCTTTGAAAATATAGCCTTGCAAAGTTTGCGAATTTTGTATGTGTTTGTATTACGTGCGGAAATTGTTACCATTTTCGGCTCAAGCAATTTCCGCACGTAATACAAACATATATACAAAATTTGCGAACTTCGCATTTTCCGTATTTTACAACATTTCGTAACCAAATTTTGCTATTTTACTAATTTTAATAAGTCCTTTACGGGAATTTACTTTTTTTGCCTAAATAAAAAATTAGTCTAACATGCAAGTTGTCTATTAGGAAATAGAAATCGATACATATTGACAAGGTGTTTCGTAACCTATTAGAGAACTTAAGATCTGCGACGCGGCCGGCTCAACGACGCGCTTGTGAATGAAAGAAATTTGTCATGCAAGACAAAAACTGTGAATAATTTGTGATCGCAGGGGTATTCTCCACGGCTTTACTAAGCATTATCACGTCTTTGAGGCAACGTGAAAGCTTGTTGTGACCCAAGATGTCTTACTTAAAGTTGAAATAACAGCAAACATTACATCCCTTTAGTCGAACTGAGCAGTTATTTGAAAAATTTTCAAATATTACAGTAAAGAAATTGCTTAGCGCTCATTCTTGAGCTGAAATTCAGACCGCGTCGTTGAGCCGGCCGCGCTTAAGCTCTCTATTAACACGCAGTGCGCACTCTTACCATTACTCTGGCCATCGTTTATAGAGGTTCCGATTTTGATGCAATATTTCAAATCCAACTGTAAGGACTGGACTAGATTTCAAGTTCACGCAATTTGATCAAGCCCGAGGCGAAACCGAGGACTGAATCAAAATGCAATCTGGTCCAGTCCGAATTGGAGGATTTGAAATGACATCTCATACGAATAAATCACTACTAAAAGTACTGGATCAGATTACTTCACCGGGTATCCAGTATTATCATGTGAGCAAAATAAAGCAATATGGTTGGCTAATTTACTCATGAATTATTAAATAACCAAAAATGATAGAACCAAAAATAAATACTGGAACTTTCCACGTGTTGTCCCCTTGTTATCATCTCAGTTGTACACCGCTGATTTTTAAAAACAAGCCATTGGGAAGTTTGCTTTTGAAGATTTTCTTAACCTACAATCCTGGTCAAAAATGTTGGCGCACTTGACACTGACTGCGAAATTTGACTCCCACATCAATAACAAGCATAGCAACCCCCCCCCCTTTCCCCCGTTCAATGTTGTGTGTAGTGTTTTATACGTCCAAGGTGTTACACAACATTGATAAGGGCGATAGGGGGTGTTTGGACATGAAATTTCGCATAAAATGGGCAAGTATGCATGTATATGGTAATCAGAAATGAAGTGAAGGTTATGCTATTTTTACTAAGTGCGCCAAGGATTTTTGACCAGGATTGTAGGATAAAACTAACCAACATTTGAAAAACCGGCCCCAGCGCTTAAAACTTACCAAGAAACCATTACCAGAGAAACGCATTCCCAACAAGATCTGTCCACCTGTGATGATGGTGCTGTTATCGAAATCCCCTCGTCTCATGTAGTTGGCACTATCACAATCCACCAACACCTCAACATGCCCCTCAGTAACAGCGATCGCTATCGTATGCCACATTTCGTCCGTAATAGAATCCTCCACGGCCAAATCAAGCACGCCGTCTTTATGCTCGAGTCTTAGCGGGTTCGCTTGTATGGCAAGCACAGGCGTACTACTCTCGGAGTACATCGTGAAGATATGACCCGTGTTGCCCTTCTTCATCTTAACAGTCATGACAATGCCGAAGCTCCGTAGGTTTAGCCCTTCAGGGAAGACTTTGCTTGTGTCCATCATAAGTCTGGCTTTGTCGTCCAATTCGTAAGCGGCATCATGGCAGAATTTGTTCACTTTTTTCACACCCTTTGTTTGATCTTTAAGTCCTAATTTCTCAACTAAGTCGGCTGAACCTGTGGAAAGTTGAAGGGATTTTATAGATTGAGAACGAGCAATGCATGCACAGTTCATACCTAACCGGGAGGAGTTGCAAAAAAACGCAACTACACTGCAAAAATATTGCCTCGAAAACTTTAGCAAAATTGTTCAAAGGTTTTGAGCAAAATCACTCATTTTTTGAGTCAAGTAAATTTTCACTCACATGTATTACTTATTGGCTTTATTAGTTCTGAACTGTACTTCCTAGGGAGATCCAGTAAGGGCTATTTCTTAATCTTCAAACCAACTTCATTTATACTGGATAGCTTAATCAGTTCTAAACTGTTCTTCCTAGAGATCCAGTAAGGGTATTTCTTAATCTTCAAATTACTAACTTCATTTATACTGGATAGGTTTATCGATCAGTTCTAAACTGTTCTTCCTAGAGATCTAGTAAGGGTATTTCTTAATCTTCAAACTATTTTTACTTCATTTATACTGGATAGCTTAATCAGTTCCAAAGTGTTCTTCCTAGAGATCCAGTAAGGGCTATTTCTTAATCTTCAAACTAACTTAATTTATACTGGATAGCTTAATCAGTTCTAAACTGTTCTTCCTAGAGATCCAGTAAGGGTATTTCTTAATCTTCAAACTATTTAAACTTCATTTATACTGGATAGCTTAATCAGTTCTAAAGTGTTCTTCCTAGAGATCCAGTAAGGGCTATTTCTTAATCTTCAAACTAACTTCATTTATACTGGATAGCTTAATCAGTTGGCTAAACTGTTCTTCCTAGAGATCCAGTAATGGCTATTTCTTAATCTTCAAACTAACTTCATTTATATTGGATAGCTCAATCTGTTCTAAACTTTTCTTCCTAGAGATCCAATAAGGGTATTTCTTAATCTTCAAACTAGCTTCATTTATACTGGATAGCTTAATCAGTTCTAAACTGTTCTTCCTAGAGATCCAAACTAACATCATTTATACTGATAGCTTTATCAGTTCTAAACTGTTCTTCCTAGAGATCCAAATTAACTTCATTTATACTGATAGCTTTATCAGTTCTTAACTGTTCTTTCTTGAGGCTATTCCTTATTCTTCAAACTAACTTCGTTCTAAGGGGCCGTGCAAAATTTATTTCATACGGGGCCAGAGCAAAAGGTGACGGGGCACATACTTTTTTTTGAGCCGCATAGAAGCGGGGCACAAAGATTTTTTTTGCCTTGCAAAGTGATCAAATAACTACAAGTGAGAGGCCAGGGCGCGGTTTATTCTCTTGAGTCTCAGTTCAGACCCGCGGGGGTACGTCGCAGTGTCAGACCTCTCGCACATTTCGGCGATTTCCTCTGGCTGTACATGGTAAGCAACTCTACGGTAAACACAGCTGCTCAAGCTTTCATTACTGACAGCAGTGCGGGGCAGCAACTTTTTTTAACAAAGTTCTGAGCGGGGCTGGAGATTTTTATCACAACCAACCTAAGCGGGGCTTGCTTTTTTTAACATTCAAAATTGATTTGCTCCGGCCAGTGGTTCCAATAAATTTTGCATGGCTCCTAAACTGTTCTTCCTAGATGTTCAATAATGACCATTCCTTATTGATCCAAAGTACCAAAGTGACCAAAGTACCCAGACTAAAAAGACCTGTGTTAACATCTTTCACAGAAATGTGAAACCGGTTGCCTTTGAAATTTCAGAACTTCCAATCTACGGGAAGAGTTCGATTCTTGTAACAAACAACTGTCTGGTCGCACACTCACGTGTGATATTGTACAGTATGAGCGGCGCGCCGTGTTGTATCAGATATACAAACTCGAGTCGAAGGTTGTATGTACTATACAACACGGACGGCGGACGCGAATGCTGTATATAGTTTGTGAAACATAAGGACTTCAGAAAGAAGTCATGTAACTGAGCCTGAGAAAAGCGAAGAGAAAGTTTGTTCAAATCAAGAAAATCTTGTATATGTGGATACACAACACCTGATTAAACATTGAGTTGTTTTGAATTGTCTTCCTGAATTATTAATGAGTTTTACCATATAGTTTTACAAAGAGTGCTTACAGGATTGATGGATCGATGAAATAAGATACGTTCCAATTAACGTATCACCATAGTATCACTAATGGCATTGCGACATAACAGATGATAAAATATATGCACAACAATGCAATATTTCAACTGGATAGCTCTATCATCAGCTCTATGGCAAGCTTCACCACTGACAGTATTACAATTTTATATACAGAAGCAACAAATTATAAGCATAGGTATTCGTATAAAATCGCCCATGCCAAGAGAGTAGAATTAGAGTATTTAGCTGACGTTTGACTTTGTGCAAGGTGTTTGATATTCAAATTATTGCACTTTTCCTACCTCCTGAACAGGCATCGTAGGGGCTGTTTACATGATGGAAGATGGGATGATTTTGATGTTTTGAAATAAGTCAATAGGCTGAACAAAAGTTCAAATGCCGGTTAAGAGAACTCAAATATTGTAGAAAAGATCTTGTAGTTCAAGAAGATTATTATTGCTGCTTGAACAACCTTTCATTTACGGGTAACTATAATCTATCTCTAGAAACTATTACGTACGATACGCGCGCACTACATGATAAACTCCTGCTACGCATGACCAAGTATGGTTTTAGATCACGCTGAAGTAGTACATTTATTTGCGTCACTGCGTCAGCCTGTCAAGGCCCGTTCACCCTTGCAATTTTTGCTGCGATTTCTCGTGCAATTTTCTTGTGATGCATGTGAACGAGTAAATAAGTTATGAATGCTCTGAGAAAATGCACCCTCGTCTAAACATTCCTAACTCGTTCACATACATTCGGGAGAAGAAAATCGCACCTAAAGTCGAAATTGCAAATGTAAACGGGTCTCTAGAAGTAATTTGATATTGCATAGCTGGGGTCGAAATTCCCGCTATTCTGAATATACTAAAATGCATGACGGAATAGTAAAAAAGAAAAGTATAGTAGAAAAAATTGTGGTACCAAATATCGACAAGCAAGGGTTTTCCTGATCTTATAAAAAATCACTTTAAACCGGACTTTGAGCCACTGTTCCACTTCGTAGCTAAGTTCTTGTTCGCTTGCAGTACTTGCATATTCTAATTTCTTTGCAGCAATATTATTGTCGTTTTCAAGTCACTTTTCAAAGCGCGGTTCCCAAGTTCATTTCAGTGTTTGAACTTTGTTTTTTGTTAATAATTTGTTCATCACTGTACAGAGCAATGCACTGTACATGTTTATTTTTTGTTATTCAATTATTCAGTTCACTTTAGGAGTCTCAAGGATGATTTCATGAACAGAAACAGTACATTAAGGAATAGTGGATCTTCAGACGGAATAGTAAATATAAAAATCTACTATTCCGGCTGTATAGTACCAAAAAAATTAAATTTCGACCCCTGCATAGCTGCTCATCGAAGTCTCTTCTTGACTTGGCTTAAGCCCCGTTTACACTACGCTCATTTTTTGGTACCGTACCACTTTTTTAGTTATTGGATAGCCTGCGTAGCAGGCGCTATTTAGGGGGGAGGGCGAGGGTGGGCCTGCTACGCAGGCTAGTTATTGGACTACCTAAATAGGTAGTCCAAGAACCAAAAAAGTGGTACGGGTACCAATTTTATCCGTGCCGTACCAAAAATGGAGCGTGGTGTAAACGGGGCTTTAGTGTTATCCTTCGTTATCCTTCAAAAGCTGGGTATTTTGTTTTTGTATTCAATGATATTTTAACACGCGCCTATCTTTCTTGACTAAAAGTTTCAAAATATAGTATACACAAAAGATAATAAAAAGGCATAATTAAAATGGCTGTTTTCGATAGGACCGTACATACCAGCGGCGGCGAAACAGATTTCATTCTGGGGGGGCTAAATTTTTTTTCCGTGACCTCCGCCCCCCCGTCGCCAAAACATTTTCGGTCAGTGTACCATTTTAGGGGTACAAAACTTTTTCCGGACATATACAAGAAAAGGGATGAAAAATTTTTAAACAAAATATTGCAAATTTTTCCCCTTATACCTAAATTTTCAAAAAATAACCTAAATTTTTCCTTAATTATCAAAAATTTTTCAGAAAAAACTAAATTTTCTGGGGGGGGGGGCTAAGCCCCCCCACTTTTACTTCTGGGGGGCTTTAGCCCCCCCCCGGTTCCGCCGCCCCTGGTACATACATCATTCAGCGTGTCGTAAAACAAACCAAAACTATTGTCGAAATAACATATTGTTGGAATTTGAATGCCTCAGCACTCTGCTGAACCCACAAGTGCATAAAAACTTGACATAAGTAAATTTTACTGCATTAAGAAACTTTTTAATTAAGATGCTGCTTTAAATTCCCAAGAGCAGAAAATTTCGTGCGCTTTACAAAGATATTTTAATTTCTTAATAAGTCAATATTTAACATATGCACCCAGCTTATTCAAATTCTAACAATACGTTATTTCAATAGTTTTGGGTTCTTTTGGGACACCCTGTATAAACAAGACTTGGCTAAACAATAATATACTACTTTCACATGCTAACATTATTACACTTCGGAAACAAAACTACAATTATAATGATTACGTAATGGAAGGTTTAATTCATTCACTATTTCCGTTCCAGCATCTTCATCTTGTTAATTCCAGATTTTTGCAGCTCTACAACTAAACCTTTTCTTCATAGCATTAGTTTTATGCTCAGAAAGCATCAACAGCATGCCATTATCGCATAAATTATAACATATGTTTTCTTGGATTTTAAAGATATGCGGACTATCGCTGATAGGGATAGGGTTGCGAATGGGATCGGGGTCAAAGGGAAATATATTCTTGCGCAAAACATGAAGATATCACCTGTACTTCTGTCAACCAACCATCGAGTGTCCTGCCTACTTTCAATCATTCGATGATTATAATCACTCGATTAAGGATAGTGCAATTAATATATCAAACGAGCCCACAGACAATGGAACAGACTGTTTTCGCGTGATAACATGTATCACGCAATGCATGCATGTATATCACAATTCCGCAATTACACGCAAGACCTAATCGGATATGATATATCGATAGACATGTGTAGCTATATTCCTATAAAGAACTGAACACAAAGATTTGTTGAAAATTTAATGTTAATTCTTCATGACTTCATCCCTTTCGTTTGAAATCAACCACATCTGATTTTACCTCTGCATTTTAAGCGTTTTTCATTCGTACGTATACACACAGTCTACACACGGAAGAGTTCAAACCTTCCTAAATTTTATATAAGTACTGATTGCCCAAACAAATACACTTTAAATCAAACACAGAACTAAATGCTGCCCTTTTATTCAATTATAGTATTATATCATAAGTGGATTTCAACTTTATCGTGCTTATACGTACACAGAAAGCCCAGGCATACATTTATGCAATATATTTAAATTGCATTGGATATTTTATAGGGTATATAAACTAAATAAAACCTGAATAAAATACGTACCATAGCGGGTGTGTTCCGTCTAACATTTATTAGTTCTATTCCAACCGCTCTGAGCGTATTTTAATTTATTAATACAGTATGCAATTTGTAATTTATAGTAATTATTTATAGTTTTTTTTGTCATTCAGCATATATTTGTATGCTGTAAAAAAATTCATTCATTTAATTACATTCAATCAGCGCGTTTCATTTCACCGCAATACTAGCAATCATTGTGCGCTTCTACCTAGAGAAAGCTTTTTGCAACACTGACTTGTTCTATATTTATATATATTTATATCTTACGATCTTTTTCCCGTCAAATACAAAACCAGGAAGCGTTCTATTTTTGATAATTAGCATGTTTGTTTTAATTCATACAAAGTTATGTATTATCAATTCATAATTTTTGACATGGAACAACACAAGCTATGTCAATTACTTGCATGTGTAAATATTAATTTTTCCAATCATAAAGCAACACAATAAACCATAACATTTGTAGATTTGCATGATTCTTGAGAACAAGACGCAAAAAATTAGACCAGACATTTTGATCAAAATCGTACTTTAAACCGAATGATTTGTAAATAATAGTTGAAAGAACAAGATTAAATCGACCTCTTACTGTTTGGGCAAAAATATAAGCCTCTGGTATGTGATTGATCAATGGGAACCAGTACATATATGGCATACCATTAGCGTTTATATATCGAAATTTGGGCACGGAATTCAACAAGAAACCCTTAGCAAATGTCACAATTTATATTCCAAATGTGCGTGTTCACTGCGCTAAGTAAATACATTGTACTTTACTGCTGACAGACAATGCGTTCTAGTATTAACAGTATAAAGTGGTATTGGTTTACCAAGACAAAATTTGTTCATATAGCAATTGTTAAAGACTTGTATCTGCTATATACAACACATACACGCATAATATGCGCAAATCTGCGTTATGGAATATATGCAAATGTGCAATTCAGCGCGCATACGCGTCATGATACGTAACTACATGTATATGCTGTAGAACAACAGGCCTATTGTGTGAACCGCATTGGAACAACCCAATTCTTACGCGCGCAAATGATAAAGTATATTTAGCAAAAGCGCGCAAAAGTAATGCGAATTAGAATAATATGCGTTATATTAGAATAATATGCGTCAGCTTTTTAGGTTGATATGAAATATAGTTGCATATTAGCTTACCCTCTGGTAAATTCCGACTGAACGTGCTGCCGATTAGGCACGCTGATAACAACAGCACATGAAGCAACATTTTGGCACCTAAAACGAAACATCTGCATTAGCATGTAGCCCAAGAAACGAATAAATGTAATATTGAATAAATTGCGTACTTACTCGTGCGTTCTGTTGTTGCTCCGGCTCTAGCACATACAAAGCACAAGACTCACGAATCTGACGAAAGAACGCTGTGCTGTGATCCTTCAGTTCCGCTGGTCCACTTCACTGTAGAGTTCAAGACTTTGAAGTATTTGTAACACGATATCAGCACATTAAGCCCATTTTGGGGTCTACTCTGACGGTCCGACAAGACCCTTTTGTCTCACAAAGAGCGCGCGCACAAACAGCCATTTATTAACATGAGAAGCAAAACTAAGCTGTTTACAGACACTTCTGTTAATTGCCAAAATATAGAAATTCGGATGTGCTTCAAGGCGTTCAATTCTTTCGTGATTATAAATTAATCGATTTGAAATCGTATTGGGAATCAATGGAAATTAAATCTATAAATTTAAATTAATTTTATGTTGATCATGCGAGGAAATTTATGACGACATTTGATCACAACTTTGTATTGGCAAAGTGCAATTCGAATAATTTATGAATTTAAAACTGCATTCTCCAAATATGGTCAAATATTATTTACAGTAACCTTGTTAACCAAACTGCGGTGTCTGTATTTATTTATTCCCGTAATTATTTCTTAGATTATGATCGTTTACAGATGTGAGGAAATGTATATGTACGATAATAAATTTGCTTTCTGGAAGGTCTTTGTACGTTACTGTCGAATGGAGTGTTCTACAACAAATTGCTAATTCGTGTAAATGCCTCCTCAGTAATTTGCATGTCGTGACACCACTGACATGCGCTTCGTATGAAGTTTATGAAGTCACGCAATGCGCATAATGCATGTAATTTAGCCTCTATTGCTACCACACAAGCAGTCCCAGTATAAATATAAGTAATTATTATAATAATGGTAAAACTTTATTCACGAGAACAATCGTATCAACTGTGGACAACTTTAAATTAACGGAATTTATAGACTTATACTGGATGGTGAGGTCCAGGGTCCAGTGGCCCTACTACAGGATGAAATACGAGACTTGGATAAAACTTGGTGTACACTGATGTTTAGTAGTAGAGTTGAACTGGAAGCAATATCTCAGATGCGACTGACTGATGTGAATCACACGGCCGTTACAGGAATGGAACCCTAGGGAGTCACAGGGGTGAATACAGGAAGGCATTTGATAAATGTCCTCACAAAGCTACAAAAGTAAACGGATCAAACAATACACAAGTTGAATTATGGACGTTTATCTAAATGTTTATCTTTGTTTTCGAACATTACCAAATGCTTTTCCGGGAAATATGATACCCATCGTGGATTTTCACAGATTTTATTTTTAGCATATCCATTCCAATCCTGTACTTTTCTTGAAATAATAAATGAAATTGCAAAATTATATCGATAAAGTTAAATACGGGTCAAAACCACTGAGCTATACTATATTACTGGAGGACCTGCTCGGCATCATCAAGTGAAGCCGAAAACATGGCGGATCTTACGCCATTTCCATGACAACACTTCCGAAATTTTCATGGTAACTGCCACTGACCAACCGCGATCCTAAGCTTCCGACGATGTCCTTAACCCCCCTGGTTTTTGCACAGAAATATTAAAGATATTTCAAGTTTTCTGTTGTTTTTGAGCTAAGGAATCTTAATATTTCCATCGCACATTACTTGTTTTACAACGCGGAGGAAGGATGCGGTTTGGTTCGCTTGTGGATGCAGCACTTCACTGCAAAGAAACACTAATTCTTTCAGGTAAGATTCACGAAACTTTTTTTAACTTTCTAGGGACTAGCATGGTCATATCACTCGAGATATTTATATGATCACTGACATGTCAAAAACTCATCATCCTAATATATACAGCAAATATTTCAATAGCAGACATACAAATATTGTTAATGAGTAGATACTGTGTGCATGAAATTATGTTGTTTTGTGTCAGCACTGGCCTTTGTGATTTTATTGCCAGACTGCCAGTTTTTAATACTTGTAATTTATATTGTGGTTGTTTTTACATGTTTATATGGTGTGAAATTTTTATACTTGCCCATCATATAGTGCAGGATTAATATATATAGATAAGCACAAAATCACGAGACCAGAAAGATTTGAGTACAGGAGGCCTACCTACATGTGGCAATATATGCCTGTCCTGATGAGCCCTAAAGACTGTCTTTTTTGTTTTACACTGTCTGTGTAATGCCAGACGATTTTAAGAGGAGACTGGTCACTGCTGCCACTCAGTGGGTTAATTATACTATCTGCCAATGAGCAGCCCCTGAGATATAGTCAGCCCATTATAAAGCAGCAATGTGCCCAAATGAACCCTACATTCTTATTTTACTCAAAGGGAACAGTCTTGGGGGTAGAAAATAGATACTCACTTTGCCATTGTCTGTTCAGAACTACATACACAGTATGATGTGATAGTTACATGGCAAGAAAAAAAAATGTTGCCCACAAGCTGTTGGGATAAGTGTGTCACTATTGATGCACTAACGGCCACTAACCAGGTAAATTCAGAATACGCTACTTCTAACATTGGAAGAGGTGATGTCTGATTGGTCTGTGAGAAACTATGATGAAATTTGCTAATAGAATTGCATTCCTGAATATGGAAACATGACACTTAATTTACATTGTACCCATGATTTCATTTGTTCATACCGGTACTCCTATAGGAAGTACTGAAAATAGTCATGTTTAATGTTATTGTTGTTGTGTCTATAGAGTTTAGGAGGACCAGATTGGAAAAAAGTTGTAACTTTATCTGTTTATCCTCAATAAATAAAGTGTTATTATTATTATTTACTATTTAATTTTGAAGCTTGGGATCATTATGGTTTTGGTAAAAACAGATCATATATATTGCACCATAGCTAGTCGGCAGCACTCTCCCCTTAACTAGTAAAATTGTCTGACATTAGATAGATTAAAATAATACAGTAAGGCATATCAAGACTGCACATTGCCACTTGAAGGGTTAATATATGTGTATTTATTATATAGTAGAGAGTGAGATACTGAAAAATACACAGTGAGTTATTTTCCATATCTTCACTAGTGCATGAAGATATTGATCACATGACTTTTTCTAATTTCACAATTTATTGCTTGGGACTATATAATAAACAGAACATTACATGGTGGCTTGAAGATATGACTTTTATCTTCTCGTGTTAAAAACAATATTTTACTCACTCGCTGTGCTTGTTTGTAAAATATTGTTTTCACCACTTGAAGATAAAAATCATACCTTCGGGCTGCTGTGTCATATCCTCTCTATATATACATGCATATGATATTTTCATGGTGTATAAAGATGTAATATAAATGTATCATGATAATAATGTCATCTTTTATTTTGCAGAAATTATCTGTTTAATGCAACACAAGAGATGGCACAGGCATCAACATGAAGACAACATGCAGAACATCAAAATGAAGTTATAATTATAATACCATAACAACGTAATAAATAATTATATGATTATAATAACTTTATTGAAGTGTAAATTTTTATAACAGAGCACAATCGTGCTCCACTAAATTAGGAAGAATTAAAATTATACATTTTTAATTGTTTACTGCTAGTTAATAGAGGCTACAAAAAAGTCAAATACTGTACATCCTTCCAGAAAGTATGCCACTTTGACTATGGAGCCTCGTTTTTGTGTGTTGGACATGTCTCAATCATGAAAATGAGACTCTACAGCCTATAACCAAGATGATATACTTTCTGGAAGCATGTATTAATTAAAATACAGTTGTTCAAATTAGTCAAGCTTTAATTGTATGTTTAGTTCAGGCACAGATATTCTGGGGGGGGGGGGAGTGCACACCCCCAGAAATTATTTGCACTCCCCCCCCAAAGGCATTTGGCAACGCCCCTAAAAGTTTTTGCACCCCTGCAAATTATATATATTTTGATTTGATAGTTTCATGTCTTTCATATTTGATTATTCTCACTACTAAATTTGTAAAATTACCAATATTATGGTCTCAGATCTTACCATGCAGGCTTAGAAAACAAATTTCGTTAAACTTTTTCCTTGGCCTTTCTAAACTTTTTCCTTGGCCTTTCTGGGTGTTGCCACCAGGCCCCAGCAGCAGCAACCCCCCCCCCTCCCCGATATCTATCCACCCCCCGAATGAAAATCCGTCTCTGGGTCAGTTTCCAAAGATGTGGCTTGATACTGTGTTTTGTCACCCAGAAAGGAGAGTGTGTCATGGAATAAATCTGCAATAAACAAGAATAGATTAATTATACAGATTGTACAGTACAATTATCCAGGCAGGTAACATAACTTAGCATAATTGACCAAGGTAAATAAACAAATGTGGCCTAACTCCTCAGCTTAAATCAGAACTATGAGTGCACTTATGTAGGTATATTGTTTATTCAGAGTGATATTTACTGAGAAAACCTGTAAGAAAACAGTGCATCCTGGAAATGAGACACACATGCATGCCTTGGCACACACCTCAGCTAAACCTCGGCTTAGGGAAAAGTGTGATTTATCTCAAGCCTCTATAATGACACAAAAATCAAGAAGTATCCCAACCAGAAAGCTAGCACCTCCAGCTTATACTGTACATAAGTTGGTACTGACATAACACAAAACCTAAATCCCTCTTTCAAAAAGATACGTCTGTGGACTGTGGTACATGATCATAGTTTATGTCTATTTATAAAACGAGACCTCGGAGTTTTTAACATTATTACACAAGACAGGTCGCATTTTAAAGACCGTCGTATTAATACTCGTGTATGTGACTGAATATAATTTTAATATTATAATAAGCTTCGTATAGGTTGTAACCAAATATTTGCGATTGTGAATCACAGCTTGCTATTAAAAATAGTGGGAAATTTTACACTTTCCCATGTGTATTGCACTGTAGGAAGCTGTTTCCTTAACAAATAGAGTGTCATTTTCATCGTTATACTTATTAATTTCATGTCAAATAAGATAAAGTGTAAACTCGAGTGTAAATAAAATTGAATATGAAAATACGTCTCTTACCTTTGTACATTAAAATCCATATTCAAGTCTCGCCTTTTTCCCACATTTCTTGAGGTTTTAAAATTTGCTTGTCGTCTTTGATGGGCGAGAATAACACGTACGACTTGCATATCTTTGTCCAAATGGTCAAAGGTAGAAAATTTATATCGAAAACTGATTCAAAACAACAAGAACTATATTATCTGCAAAACTTTTTTGCAAAAACCAGGGGGGGGTGAAAACGGCCGTGGGCTCAGAATTGAGCCTGGTCAGTGGTACCTACCATGAGAATTTCGGAAGTGTTGTCATGGAAATGGCGTCATTTTCACTCAAAATCCGCCATGTTTTTGGCTTCACTTCGTTGACTGAACGAAGTATAGGAGCAGGTCCTCCAGTTATTATACAGCTCAGTGGTCAAAACCGCTCACCACTGAGCTGTATAATAACTGGAGGACCTGCTCCTATACTTCGTTCAGTCCATAGAGATTATAAATAACACTAGAGGAGGCATTGTAATCTTAATTCAGTAAAAAAAAGGGAACGCAGCTATTGGGGGGGCAAATTCAAGTCCCGGATGTGTATTCGTGTTCCCATTGGTGACGAGTTTCAAATCAGCCAATGAGAGCACGATTTTATATCCGGGACTTGAATTTGCCCCCCATTAGCTGCGTTCCCAATTTTTAAACTCGATGCCTCCTCTAGTGTTATTTATAATCTCTATGGTTCAGTCAACGAAGTGAAGCCAAAAACATGGCGGATTTTGAGTGAAAATGACGCCATTTCCATGACAACACTTACTTTATTTTCATGGTAGGTACCACTGACCAGGCTCAATTCTGAGCCCACGGCCGTTTTCACACACCCCTGGTTTTTGCAAAAAAGTTTTGCAGATAATATAGTTTTTGTGGTTTTGAATCGGTTTTTAAAATTTTTTCGATATAAATTTTCTACCTTTGACTATTTGGACAAAGATATGCAAGTCGTACGTGTTATTCTCGCCCGTGAAAGACGACAAACAAATTTAAAACCTCAAGAAATGTGGGAAAAGACGAGGATTTACAAAGGTAAGAGACAAATTTTCATATTTCAATTTTTTAATATTTAGACTTTACCTTTATATTTGACACGAAATTGATAAGCATAACGATGAAACTGACACTCTATTTGTTAATAAAACAACTTCCTATGCAATACACATGGTAAAGTGTAAAATTTCCCACTATTTTAGCAAGCTGTGATTCGACACAATCACATATACGAGGAACTGTCCTGCAGTCTAAAAATTGTTTAAAAGCCTTAAAAGGTTGACTCCTAAGGTCTCGTTTTATAAACAGACATAAACTATGATGATGTGCTATCTTTCATACTGAAAAGGGAATTAGGTTTTGTAATATGTACCACTTTAATAGCTAAGGGTGCTGGAAACTGATCTGGGAAGGTAGTTTCTAGTATTTCTACCTAGTTTTCTCCATGGTTGGGGCCGATACTTCTCTATTTTGTGTCAATAATAGTAATATAGAGGCTTCAGATAAATCACACTTTTCCCTAAGCCGAGGTAACAAGGTTTAGCTGAGGTGTGTGCCAAGGCCTCATTTCCAGGATGGCCTGTTTTCTTACAAGTTTTCTCAGTAAATATAAGTGCACTTATAGTTCTGATACCCCTGGTTTAAGCTGAGTCTGTGTTAGGTCACATTCTTTTGTTTACCTTGATCATATGCTAATTATGTTACTGGTGAATTTTTGTACAACCTAGATAATTAATCTACTCTTGTTTATTGCAGATTTATTCCACAATGACACACTCCTTTCTGGGTGGCAAGTTACAGTACCAAGCCACACATATCTTTGGAAACTGAACATACTGTATTTTAATACACGCTTCCAGCAATTATGTCACCTTGGCTATAGAGTCTCATTTTCATGATTGAGACATTGGACTTTAACTCATGCCACATAGTGCAAATGAGGCTGCATAGCCAAGGTGAAATACATTCCGGAAGGGTGTATTTGACTTTTTTGTAAAATTATTAGCAGTAAACAATTTGAAAAACAAAAATGTATAATAAATTTATTTTAATTTAATTGCTATAAAATTTATTTACACTTCAACAAAGTTATCATAATCATATAATTATTTATGTTGTTATGCATGGTATTGCATGTTGATGCCTCAGTGCCATCTCTTGTGTATATTAAACATATAATTTCTGCAAAATAAAAGATGACATTATTATCATGATACATTATACATCTTTACATCATAAAAATATCATATACACATATGTTAACCCTTCACAAGTGGCAATGTCTCTTGATATGCCTCACTGTATTATTTTAATCTACCTAATGCCAGACAATTTTAGTAGTCAAGGGGAGAGTGCGATTACATGATCTGTTTTTACCAAGACCATTGATCCAAGCTTCAACATTAAGTGTCATGTTTCAGCTGAATGCAATCACATTCCTGACTAACTGCTAAAATATGTCAAACTTAACTATTATGAGCAAATTTCATCATAATTTCTCACAGGCCGTGCCATGGCCAATCGGACATCACTACTCCCAATGTTAGAAATTAGGGGCGGGTTTACTTGGGGGGGGGGGGGTTAAACCCCTCTAATAAAGTGTTCAACCCCACCAAAATCTGCTTCAACCCTCCTATTTTGTGTGAAAGGCCAACAACTCAAACACCTAATCCATGCCAAAGTTCACTGAGTGGTGAAATAAATAAAAATCCGCCCTTGTTAGACATGTTGTGGCATGCCGAATTTACCTCATGATTAGTGTATCAGTGACTCACTTAAGTCCCGGCAGCTTGTGGGCAACATTTTTGTTCTTGCCATGTAACTATGACATCATATACTGTACATGTAAAACTATATAGTTTTATATAGTTCTGAACAGATGGCAAAATGATATCTATTTTTAAGACTCTTCCCTTGATGAGTATTGAGTAAAACATCTGGATTTAATCTCACAGATTGAGTGAAATAAGAAAGTAGCCAGGATTCATTGCAGCTTAATGGGCTGACTATATATCTCAGGGGCTGCCCATTTGCAAATAGTGTAATTAACTCACTGCGTGGCAGCAGGGAGTAATCTCAATCCCCTTAAAATCGTTTGGCATTAGACAGAGTAAAATAATAAAGACAGTCTTTAGGGCTCGCATCATCAGGACAGGGCACATGCATTGTCACATGTAGGTGGCCATACTCTATGGCTCAACTCTCTCTGGTCTTGTGCTTATCTATATATACTAATTCTGCACTGTGATGGGCAAGTATATAAATTTCACACCATATATATTCGTTTAAAATATATGAACCTCTGTATATGAACATGTAAACAAGTAAACAACCACAATTTTTAGTATAAATTAAAAACTGGCAAACCACAAAGGCCAGTGCTGACACAAAACAACATAATGTTAACAATATTTTATGTCCCCTATTGAAATATTTGCAGCATATATTAGGATGATGAGTTTTTGACATAATATGAAGGTCTATAGTGGCTCTAGCCGTCTAGAAAGTTATAAAAAAAGTTTCGTGAATCTTACCTGAAAGAATTAATCTTTCTTTGTAGTGAAATGCTGCATCCACAAGCAAAGCAAACCCGCACCCTCGCTCTGCGTTGTAAAACAAGTAATGTTCGAGGGAAATATTAAGATTTTTGCTCAAAAACAACAGAAAACTTGAAATATTTTATTGATATAATAATATATCTATGCAAAAACCAGGGGGGTTAAGGACATCGTCGGAAGTTTAGGATCGCGGTTGGTCAGTGGCAGTTACCATGAAAATAAAGTAAGTGTTGTCATGGAAATGGCGTAATAGCCGCCATGTTTTCGGCTTCACTTGATGATGCCGAGCAGGTCCTCCAGTAATATAGTATAGCTCAGTGCCGCTCACACACCACATTTCCACCATAGAGATTATAAATAACACAGTGTTATTTATAATCTCTATGATTTCCACTCCTTGTGTCCGCCATATTGCATAGAGAAGGAATAAATTAATGGTTTGGTGATCACGTGCGTAACTCCATTATGATTGGCTAATATCAGAATACGAGCAATCTGATTGGCTAATATAACAAAACCCTCTTATTATGAAACTGGACACCTGGAGAAAAAAATCCCACAAATATATTTTTCTTTCGCGGTAAACAACTTTTCTCTTCTATAAAAGCAAAAATAAAACCGCTATGGTTAAACGGAAAAGAGTAAAAACATCTACTGCAGCTAAAACAAAGGCTAATGACAAAGACAAGGCCGTAAAGTCTACGAACTCGGAAGAAACGAGCAGTACAAATGCGAATATTTCGGGCTTACAAGAACGTCAAGAAGGACATGTAGATGGCAGCCCGTCAGCTACAAAGAAACCAAAACTCGATTCAAGTCAGTCACCAAGTGCAAATAAGTCCAAAAGATATGTACCATTTTTCACAGCATCACAAAGAGTTAGTAACCGGTTACGAAACAGAATAAGCAGCGAAAAATCCGAGGGCAACTCAGGTAGTCAAGAATCAAAAATTATTGAAGGTCTTGTGGGTGAAAGTAAAGATGTCTGCAAAAGTAAACAGGGGAAAGGAAATTCGCAGGAAAAAAGCCTAAAAGAAACCTCTGCAATGGTTTTACAATCAAATGAAGAAGATGCAGTACGAAAAATTTATGCTATATTTAATACTATGTTATAAATATTGCAATTAATACATGGTAAATTCTATCTATTTGCCATGAAATAAATGACTACTATGCAGTGAATATAAATGTTGGTTGGCCATCGTCGGCTCGGTATGACAGCATATAGTGAAACCCACCCGTGCCCAGAGGGACATGCTGGGGGGGGGGAGGGGTATGGCACAAATGGGACCATAGGTGGGACTTAACAAAAAGATGTACTCTGTTATTGGGTTATTTGACCAATGTATTGTCCCAGGGCCTAAGTAGATCCTTACCTCTTGGGAAACCCTTCCTAGTCTCACAAACAGATTTAGTAGTCTGAGGACGACTCGCAAGAGTGCTTGAAATGTCAAACCCCATATGATAAAGCTGCACTGTTCTGAAAGTTTGAAGAAGTTGTCTAAGTTTGACCAATGTTATCAACTGTTGTTTCTAGATATCTGTATGTTACCTATATGTTTAAAGGGCCCGCAGTAATTGGTTTTAACTGTTGTGGTGTCCCCGCCATTCGTCACTTGTATAATTTTGTATTTGTATTGTATGCATGTCATTCGTGTAATTTTACCTGGGGAAGTTGAATAAATAAATAAATAAATAAGAAAGACTTCTTTCATACTTTCTCTCTTATCTGCCATCCTCAATTATGGGGCTTCGGTGGGGAAGTGGTTAGCGCACTTGCCTTTCACCTCTGAGGTTGCAGGTTCAAGCCTCAGTGAGAACTTTCTCAATGCGACTCGAACCCAGTCCTCATGTGAAAAGAGCAAAAGTCAACACTCAGCCAAAAATCGTGGGTTTCTCCGGGTACTCCGGTTTCCTCCCACAGGGAGAGTTGACAGGGTGGGTTAGGTAAAAGGGCCCACAGTAATTGGCATATATGCTGTTGTGATGAACCCGACCTAGTTGGCAAAGCGAAATAAATAAATTGAATAAAATTAGCCACATAAGCAAACTTAAAAGTTCATAAAATCATATCTTCCCTTCTCACACACAGCTGGGAGCTGCTGCAGCATCAGCCGCAAGCTTGACATACATTACAATTGCTCGCTACATAATTACTATAACAAGTACATATACCCAATCCAAAACCGTTCTGTTCCCCTACTCTCTACTAATAAACATAAAAGGGCTGGGTGGGTGGGATACTGTCAAGCTACGTTGAGCAACAACAAAAATATGCTGAAATAACCTGCACCACCCTGTAACACCCTGATTTCATCAGGCCCCCAGCAGTGTGTGAGAAAACATTTTCCGCTTCTTTCGTGCCTCAGCCAGCGGAAAATAACACTTTTTGTGCCTGCAAGCAAAATTTATAACTTGCCCTATAAAACATACCGGTACACAGTGGGTAGTATTCATTCACTACATCATGTTGGGCTATCGTTTTAGGACGAAATGCCTTCCCATGTATCAGTTAACACAAAACAAAGTGATGTTGAGATGAAAGTTAAGAACAAGGAAGGTAAAGTATTTTTACTTTGAATTTGCCCCCCAAAAAATAAAATTAAAAAGACATGCTTACGAAATTAATACATTAAACAAGACCATGGGACCGTGCATAAAATACACAAAAGGTATAATATTACGAGAGAAAACAATAGAACTTGGTTTTCTTTTATATTCACAGAAAAGGACTCCGAAAAATACACAAACGAAGATGTTCCTAGTGAAAATATGTCAGAAACAACACAGAAACAGACTGGCATTGAAATCCAGGGTGTTGAAAGTACAACGAACAAACCTGAAGATGAAAATACTGCAACACATCAAGAAATTCGAGACCAAGGTGGTCAGGACGTGCTCCAACAAGTTCTAAAACTTTCTGATTTAACGCAACAATCCTGTGACAAAATTGAAACAAATAGAAGAAGCAAGGAAAAAAAAAGAATGGCGAAAAATGTGAGTCCTCACAAAAGTGAACGTTCGAAAGAAAGTATGGTGAACAAGTTTGAAACCAGTACAGTCATTGTTGGACAGATGAATGATGTGACACGACTAAGCAATATTGTAGCGCGAGTAAGCGATTTTGATGCATTAGGCTTGCAGACTTTAGCAGACACCTGTGCAGTGGTATCAGCTGTAGAACACGTGGTATCAGTTGCAAAAGAACCTGGCAAGAGTGATAGTTCTCAAAACAAACTGCAGACTGAGGCAGAAAGGGAAACGAAGGGGATGCGTGGAGAGAGAAGAGATAATGAAAACGACAACAACAACAACAACTCGCAACATTTGGCTGAAGAAAATATCCCTAACAAAAACAATTACGTGATTCCAGAAAAACAACAAGACGCAATTGCCGATGTGATTATGAGTAGCCTAAGCAAACCGACTACTTTGTGTGAGGAAGGAACCACCGATAACTTGGTTATTCGAACTATACCATCAAGTGAAATTGACGGCAGAAAGGCTCAGAATAATGTTATGGCTATGCTAAATGAAACCATGGACACATCTAGTTCTCCTCGGCCGGCCTCTTCTCAAGAAATTATTAAAGATAAACTATCGGAGATGTTATCATTGGTTACTGAAAATGAATCGAACAGGCTACCTTTGTCCCAGACTAAATCTGACCGTAACACTAATGCAACTACGATGATTGAGAACACTGATAAGGATGGCCCAGTTGAAGCAGGTGTTACAGACACCGAGATTCTGTCAATTGAGAGTGCTGACAAGCGTAAGTCTGACGGTCCACAAGAAAGAGTTTCAAACAGCTTTGTCAACAGCCATAAGAACTCGCATAATTTAGCCAAGACAGAAAATATTGAAATAAAACAACGTGGGATGATGTCAGTTGATGATGAATGCTATCCGGCTATCATTGAAAAGGAGGAGGATGCCGGGAATAGACAAGTCTCCGCAGACGTAAACTGCGGTAAGAACTCACAGAAGGCAACAGCAACAGTGGAGGTTACAGGGAATAAAGACCTCTCTTCTCAAGAGACAAGTGAAAGAGTTGAAGATTTTATCAGCAAGAGTATAGATTTTCATGATCAAGAAGTTCCTGATAAAGTGGCAACATCTCCTGAGCAGGAAGTTCCAGATAAAATGGTTTCATCTCCACCATCACGTAAAGAAAAATATATTTCTGTTATTCTGAAGGTATGGGTTAATATTTTACTTTTATTTATAAAGGATGGGTAGTTTAGTCAAATTGTGTTGTTCTTCGATCCGCAACGCGAATTTTACATCAGTACAATGATAAATAATACAATGATAATTTTTTTATCTTACAACAAGAACAATGCAGAAACTTTCAACCACGACGAAGTACAATCTTCTATATTAACATCAAATGAAAATTCAGCAACCGATATTTCTCATAACGAAAGTAAGAAAGTGGAGACAACAGAAGAAAAAGTGGACATTACAACACCCAACAATACTATTGATGAACAGTCTTATACCGAAGAGTTCAAAGCGTTGGAAGAACTACTACCCAGAGATGACATGGGTCTATTTGATGATGTCATGATGAGCAAACCTATCAAGTAAATGTAAAAAGTTTCTTTGTGGGCCTGGGAGAAAGTGGATTATCTCGGGATCCTGAGGACTTTTGCCTAATAGCAAGAAAATTGACGAATATTTTCAATTTTTGTATATACTTAATATATTTCTATTTTATATATTTTAATTTTTATATCGTACTTCCTTTATCATTGATTTCTGAATATGAAGTGTTGTAATAATTTGATGTAATATACGGTCAAATTTTGCATTTTTGAGGAACATTTGAAAAAGGCAAATTCACGATCTGGTGAACAGTAAACACTTTTTCCATTTTCTTTCATAATGGTAACTTCAAAAATCTTGACATTTATAGGAACAAGTAAAATTGAGCTGAATTATTTTTATATTGGCCATCAAATAAGAGCCACATGTGATGAAAATCTGTTAACTGCTGGTTAACCAGTCCTCTATCTGCTGCACTTTACTCAGTGCTTAATGAAACCAATGGTCCATTGAAATTGTTAGAAAATGTCCGCTTTAACTTACTAATCCTAACCTATTTTTTCTAGTGCGAATAACGAGCTACCTAGTGGAGACAGTACGGTCGAATTTTTAATCAACGAGCTCAACTCTCTTCAGTAAGTGTTACATTCATAGCCAATGTTGGGAGTTATAACTTGTGTCTGGTGGTGTAGTCATTGCATTGTTATTTTCTTTTATAGTTGTATGGTTGCGAATTATGAGCGAGCTGTGGAAGACATGAAGAGACCGTACAAGTCCACTGCGAGGTTTTGACGTCCACTTGGGCTTTCAGTGAACATCGGACATGTTTTAAAATGAAAAAAATAGTTTGTAGTTTTACTGCCAGTAATTGACTAATTGGTTTACCATTTCGTTTGTTAACATGTTTATATTGTTTTAGGGACATATTGACTATAATATGCGTATTCTATATCAATACTCAAACTCAATAATGTTGGTTGGATATATAAATATGTTGATTTTGTTATTTATTTATTTTAAAAGTTCAAATTTTTGTTAGGCCTGTATAAATAAATTTTTAAAAAATGGTTGTGGCTGAATTTTTGCAGTGAAGCTGTTGTGAAGCTGTAAAAGTAACCTGAGGACTTTTTCATTTATCATCCAGTTCTGCATTTTAGACTTTTAGATCAGTTCACCTCTAGGGACATTTGGGGATTCTATTATATATTTAAGAACTTTAAAGGATAATATATGTCTTCGTAGGGTAACATAAGACATTACGGGATAATTAAGGACACCAACGAATAATTTTGGGATTATTTGGGATATCGAAGATTTAATTAGGATATTAGTTTGCAAATCAAAATATTGCATCATTGTGTTGCAATCACTTATCCTGTATGACTGTAAAAGGGATTATTTAGGACATTTATTGATAATTATTAGGATAGTAAAGAATAATTTGGAACATAATATGATAATTTTTTAGGACTTTGTTTTGCTCATTTCATGTAGCACTATTTTCCATCCAGCAAACCGCCCTATCGATTTTCTAAAGTCGTTTCTTTTTGGATTTTTTTATTCATTCTTTTTTTTTTTATTTTTTTTTTAACAGCTTTATTGGACATACATATAAAAGGTTACATATTATTATACAAACAAAGACTACAGGGTATACGTCCAATGGGGCTAGCGCAAACGGGACAACGAGACCCATGCAGGGCAAATGGTTAGGGTTAGAGTATGGGTTGCGGTTAGGGTTAGAGTAGGGGTAGGGTTTGGGTTAGATTCAATCTCGTTCCCAGAGTATGCCTGTTCGCGGGTTAGGTCATGCCACAACCTAACCCGCGAACAGGCATACTCTGGGAACGAGATTGGGTTAGATTAGGTTTGGGTTAGCCATTTACATTTTACAGTAACACCTCTTCCATCTTCCGAAAATGACGTCAGGTCAGTTTGCTGGATGGAAAATAGTGATAGTGCTAACCTTCATAAATCATAATATTGGTAAAAAAAATTTTTGCCAAAACTTCATACACGTGTGTGTAAAATTTTTCTTTAGAGTTTAGTGCTCATATTTTACTTTATCTGCTAGGAATCTTTACAATGGGCAAGAAAAAGTCTTCAGGGAGTAAAAAACAGCAATCTTTAGCCGCAGCCGTTGAAGAAGCTGAGCAAGAAATTGACGAATTGAAACTGAGCGATGACACGAAGCCCTCTGGGGCAGGGAAGACGAAGGAAGGGGGAAAAAAAGGGAAAGTCGAGGCGAAAGTTGAAGAAGAATTTGAATTTGATTATACTGGTGGTGAGAATATAGCAGAGGAGATAGATGGCTCTCAAGGTTTGTGTATTACATAGTGTGTGTGGGATGTTTATGTTGTTTAAATATATATAAAATACTGTATACAGAAATGTCTTGATTGTTTTTATATAATCATATGTATTTTATATTTCTTTATTGTCATCTTTTGTTAATTATGTATTTCATATGTATTATTATTGTAATATTTACTGTAAATCCTCCATTAAGATCCCCCCCTCACAGGCCCACAAAAAATTAGGCATTTTGTGTGTGGGGGCGCTTATTATTAAAGGAGTTGCAGCAGTATGTGTTTAAATGCCCATAATCTACTCAATATGACTAGTTGTATATGATTCTAATACTGGCGTATGTACTCGAATAAATGCCGTCAGCTGTTGTTTTCATATGCCAGAATGACAATCATATATGACTAATCGTATCGTGTCAATTTATTATTAGAGCAAGATGGAAAGCAATTGAGTCGAAAAGAATTGAAAAAGCTGAAAAAACAGGTTAGTTTTGTCACACTTTGTTTTCAACTATGCAGTGAATGCTACAAATGTTAATGCAAACTCTGATCTAAGTTGCTTCAAAAACAAAGGTCTCATTCAAAAACAAAGGCCTCCTACCCCCTTCAGCTGTCCTAATACACTTACTATCATCAGAAACATTTTTCTTCCCTCCCCTTCCGGACAGCAGAAATTTCCGCCGTGGGGGAGTGTGGATCTTTTCTGGAGCAACCCATTAAGTTTGGCACATGATAAGCATCATGTTTAAATTAAACCAGTTGTATTTATTTCAAGGAAAAATATTTACAAGAAGCAAAGGAAATTGAGGACTCTCAGTTCTCTGTGTCTCAACGTGAAGCCTCTGGCAAAGGAAATGTTGTGGAGAATGCCTCGGACATCAAGGTATTTTAAAAGATACATAGGATTCGAATTTAGAACTTAAGATTAAGGCATACCTTAATCTTAATCATCAGCAGAGACCCATTTACACAATGCAACTAGTTGTATACAATTCTTGTCCTCGCTGGCGTAATAGTACAGTATCCGGTACTCGATTAAATGCTTGTAAAGATGGCGCATTTCAAATGTCATCATTCATCAGTCATTTTCATGCGCCAGAATGACAATTGTATAAGATCAGTCATTTTGCGTAAATGGGCCTTAGGGCATTCATCGATCTTTCATCTTAAATTTATAGATTGAAAAATTTGGTATATCAGCTCGAGGGAAAGATTTGTTTGTAAATGCAACGTTACAAATAGCTGCCGGCAGACGTTACGGCCTGGTTGGACCAAACGGGTAAGGGCACATAAGCAGCAATGGTCTGAACTACCAGAAAAAAACTAATAAACATTCTGTGTTGATGTTTCTGATATCCAGTTGCTGTACTTTTACTTTTGGTCTCATTTTATTTCAGCATGGGAAAAACCACGTTACTCAATCATATTGCCAAACGGATTCTTGCCATTCCACCAACTATTGATGTGTTACTTTGTGAACAAGGTACATTGATGGGTTAATTAAGAGTATCTGAGACTTTCATTGTTGAAAAAAAATTATTGCTTATAGTTACTCATTTTCCACGTACTAAATTGGTTCACACAAAGCAAAACCAAAAAATTTAGCAACGTAATTGGTTAGTGAAAAAATTCGCTGTGAAAAAGTTGGATTGCTTACTACTTCTTTTGCGACAAATTTTTTCACAAGACAAATGTTGCCCATTTTTTTCACTTCACACAAACAAATTTGCCTAGTGGAGAACTGATGTAGCCCCCATTGCACACCGGGCCCCGACATATACCCCACTTCCCGCACCCCCACTTCCCCTCAACATATTGTTTTTTATATACAGATGTTGAGGCTGACAACACTCCTGCTTTTGATGCTGTGCTTAAAGCTGACACAAAAAGACTTGCTTTGTTGGATGAAGTAAGTTGTTTTGAATTTGTTGATAATGGAACATGAATGGATAATTAATTTTGTAAATAATATTAAATCAGGAGAAAAGGCTGACAGAGCAAAGTGCAGCAGGTGACGAGAGTGCAATGACACGACTCAAAGAGGTACTGTGTCTATGTTTTTCATTTTTGCAAGTCTGTTCTTCATTAGGTAATTTCAGATAACAACCTGTTGTTTCATTTTCTCCAATTAACATATTTTAAAGGTGTATGTAGAACTGGAAGCCATTGGTGCTGCTTCAGCTGAAAGTCGAGCAAGACGGATCTTGGCAGTAAGTTACCGATTGAGTCGCAGCACTCTCCTTGATGAGTAAAATCATCTGGGGAGACCGGTTCATTAGCAGCCCTCGAAAACGAGGTCGGCATTCGGCAATGCCAACCTAAATGCCGACCTATCAGCCTCCCAGGTCGGCAAATTTTTGCCAACCTTAATTCAGCCAAAGTAAGAATTTTTTGTTGCTGATAGCTGTTAAGAAGTCAGCGATTACAGAATTCGATTCGTAGTTCGATTACTAAACACACTTCGGTGTAAGGTTAAAAATTGACGGGTATTCAATATATAATTTCGGTAAGACTACAAAAGAAAAGCTGTTGTGTTACTTTTCAATGATTCGTAAATTGTACGTGATTACTACTGCTCCAAGACACGAAAACAGATTGCCAAGACATGCCGACCTAGGTCAGATTTAGGTCTGCATTTTTTTGCTGACCTCCATTTTGACGGTTTTTGAGGGCTTCAATAAAGGGTATGGGCAATGAAAATTTCTTCATCTATCTTATTGCTTCATCTGAAAGAGCATGAAAAAATAAGCCGATTGGCCGTTTACTGCTCTATTCTATCTCATCTGGTTCCGAAGTTATAAGCAAAAATGTGCAAAATATAAATTGCTGATTCAGCACAATGTGTGACGTCATAAGCGGGGTAAGTATGTTTATTGAATAGTAAACTAAAGCATAGCTGAGTGATTATTGGCTCAAATCAAATGAAATTTTGCATACAGATAGTACATGATGAGACGCATGGGAAAATACTTCTAATTTCGTTGTCAAGGCAACACAGTCGTTCCCAGGCCCCTTACACTGATTTTGAATAACTAGTTGCATTTCTCTATGTGTATGTCATTTTCGAATTATTATCATGCAAGTAAACTTTCGGCATGCATAGGTATCGTACACATACTTCTGATATTATTTTATTTTTATCAGTACCTTGAATAAAGCTGTTTTATAAAATTGGCGCAAGGGTCCTGGGAACGACATTGTTACCTTGGCAACAAAATTAGAAGTGTTTTTCCATGCGTCTCATCATGTACAATCAGTATCCAAAATTTCATTTGATTTGGGCCTATGCTTCAGTGTAGTATTCAATAAACATACTTACCCCGCTTATGATGTCACACATTGTGCTGAATCAGCAATTTATATTTTGCACATTTTTGCTTATAACTTCGGAACCAGATGAGATAGAATAGAGCAGTAAACGGCCAATCGGCTTATTTTTTCATGCTCTTTCAGATGAAGCAATAAGATAGATGAAGAAATTTTCATTGCCCATACCCTTCAAGGACACATTGCTACTTATAGGGTTAAAGCATGAAATTTATGATACTTGTCTGCTGTGGGCCATGTGGCGGAAGCTGACAAATACACTCTCAAAGTATGCAGGATTATGGAGCAATTTATTTTTAGGGTCTTGGGTTTACAACAGAGATGCAACAACGCCCAACAATCCAGTTCTCAGGAGGATGGCGTATGAGAGTTTCACTTGCCAGGTTTGCATGGTTCTGTTGTTAACCCATTGAGTGGCAGCACTCAATCTCCCCATGACAAGTAAAACTGTCTGGCGTTAGACAGAGTAAAATAATAAACAAGGTGGCATCAGAACCCTGATTGCCACTTAAGTTAAAAATATTTTTTGAAATATGTATTATTTACCGTAATATTTGTTGTATCTTAATTATATGTGATTTATGTATTCAATTCCAGAGCACTCTTTATGGAACCCACTTTGTTAATGCTTGACGAACCTACGAATCATTTGGATTTGAATGCCGTCATCTGGCTGGACAAGTAAGTATTGCAGTAATGTACAAAATCTCACAACTTGTCAACAAGATGTGTTCTCAACAAGTTGTAACAATGCTGTTATTTTATCAAGTTGCTACAAGGTTGTCACACACAACTTTTTCACAAATTGTTGAATTGCAGGACGATAACAAGCTGTTAGAACAACAAGTAAAAAGTCTGTTGAGCTCAACAACCTCCTTGTAGCAACTTGTCAACAAGCAGTGCACACACATCCTGTTGACAAGTTGTTGGAACAGTAAATTGCTACAAGTCTGCTGCAACTTTGTTACAAACTTGTGCGTGTGTACACCTCATATTTGAAATGCAGACACAAGTTATTTGTTACATGTTTGATCTTTCTACCGACAGCTATCTTCAACAATGGAAGAAAACGTTACTGATAGTTTCTCACGATCAACATTTTCTCGACAGTATTTGTACAGATATCATCCATTTGAGTAAGTAGTAATAAATTTACGTTGTGTTTCCACCAACAAAAGTATCGTATGTTTTATCGCCATGCAATCCTACCATAGAAATACAGTAATAGATATATCTATTATTTCTATGAATCCTACATACAAAGAACTTAAAGTAATGATATGTTTCTCACTTGGCAATTCATTTCCTCAAACTAAATGTACTCAATTTGTTGTTATAGATGAACAGAAATTATTTTATTACAGAGGAAATTATAGTGAGTATACAAATATTGTATTGCATGTACAAGTTTGTTTTAGTACGTAGAGGCCACTCGCAGACTGCAAATTTTCGCCAGCAAATTAAGTTATGTACGATGCATAAATTATACAATGAGCTAATTACACATTCAGTTCATTCTGCCCGACAAAGCAAGACAAACTTTTTGCAAATTTCTTGTCCAACTTCCATTCAAATTTAATTAGCCAAAATTTAACCAATAGACCTTAATACCGATTATTCTCTTTTACCCAATGGCCTTGTTTCCATGTTAACTTATTTTAGCATGTCAGGGGCAGATTTAAATATTATATTCCCATGTTTTCCCGGACGAATTTGTAATTGCTGTGTTCTTAGGCTCAATAACAAGGTAATTTTCAACCCTACTAAGCACAAAACATGAGTAAGTAATAGTATTTGACATGAAAACGTGGCCAGTGGGTAAAAGAGAATGATCGGAAAGGTCTATTTGCTCTTGGACAATGTCATTAGTCCCACAATTTTTTTTATTAATATGTTTGGTATTTTTTGAGTTGTTGTGCTATAGCAGACAAACACACAGGCACACCTGCAAATACGAGTGAAAACACACCCTGCTGGCAGAGGTTTAAGATGTAACATTTAAAATATTTTCATGCAGGCCAATTTAAGAAAATGTATCAACAGAAATTACGGGAGCAAGAAAAAGCATATAAAAGACAGGAGAAACAAATTAAAGATTCAAAAAGTGGTGGAAAATCAAAGAAACAAGCTGTAAGAACATTATATTTTATATAACACTGGGATTTTCTTTTCAAAATCCTAATTAAGTAAATTTTTGATAAACATTTTTGTTGGAAATAGTATGGAAACCCTATTTTCAAACAAATTGCAATTTTCATACTATGGATATAGTATGGGAAAAGTATGGGACCGTATACTATGGACTTAGTGGTGCAATTTCAAATTCATACTGTAGTATGAATTTTCACAATTTTTCTCTAGTGTAATCTACTCTGTGTTAAGCATTTTGTCTTATACAGCCCACGTGGAAGAAATTTTACTTGATACATATTCTCCACTTTGTTAGGTTGAAGATGCCAAGGCCACACAAAAAAGAAAAAATGAAAAAGGTGGTGGGAAAAAAGCAACCAATGAAGATGCAGTAAGTTGACACGTGACTTCCTCATGTTAATTATAATAAAGATGTTCAGATTTGACTGTCACTAACAGTACTTTTATGGGACCATTAACCAATCGCATGCATTTAATCTACCTGATTAACCAATCGCATGCATTTAGTCTACCTGATTAACCAATCCGATGCATTTAATCTACACGATTACAGTCGTGCCAATAGAAGCGTTCCAAAAAATGTTGACCAGTTCATTTCCTAACTTTGAGAAGTTCCTCTGAACAATTCCTCAAGTCCTCAACAATTTGATAAGTTCCTTAAGAAGTTCCTAACTTCCTGTTTCATTGACCAATCAGATTGCTCAAAAATAAAATGTAAAATTTGATTGGTCAATGAAACAGGAAGTTAGGAACTTTTTAAGGAACTTATCAAATTGTTGAAGAATTGTTCAGAGGTGTTCCTTCAAGTTAGGAAATGAACTGGTCAACATTGGCACGACTGTAACCAATCGCATGCATTTAATCTACCTGATTAACCAATCAGATGCATTTAATCTATCTGATTAACCAATCAGATGCATTTAATCTACCTGATTAACCAAATCTGAACCTCGACATTTTTCCGTGCAAAGTTTTCTCCGAATAATATTGTGATGGGCGGCAAAATTTTAAATGGGTGAGTCATACGTACAGTATAAGGCCGTTTGCTGCGTCCTGATATCGTTCACTTTCATTAAGCATGTCTTGGAACTGAAATATTTTTACGGGAACTAACACTTTCAAGCACGCTGAGTTCGAATCCGAAAACTTCCCGCGCCGTAAACCCGCAGTTTTCTCACAAAATGCTATTTTATCTTCGCTGATTTCACAACAAATTTTTTCATTGTTCAACGACATGGATCGATGACGCCACAGCAAACGGCCCAGTAGATAAATAAAAACTAGTAGATAAATAAAAACTAGTAGATAAATAAAAACTAGTAGATAAATAAAAACTAGTAGATAAATAAAAACTAGTAGATAAATAAAAACTAGTAGATAAATAAAAACTAGTAGATAAATAAAAACTAGTAGATAAATAAAAACTAGTAGATAAATAAAAACTAGTAGATAAATAAAAACTAGTAGATAAATGGTGTAAGCATCCTGGCGGTTTTCTTTATTTTCTCGATGTATGTTTGATCGTTTTCAGATATTTTGATGTTGTATAATTTTAGATGGAGGCTGACACGGTAGAATTGATCAAGAGACCAAAAGAGTATGTGGTCAGGTTTTCATTTCCGAATCCGCCGCCACTTAATCCGCCAATTTTGGGTCTGAAAGGTAGGTACATGTACTACTTAATCATAATGGTTCGACTACGCCAACAGCAATCACAACCACAATAACTTGGTGTGGATATATGTACACAGTACCCTTAATGTATCTAAGCTAAGTCTTGATGTTTGTGATGTTACTCTGAGTGTATATCCACACCGGGCAGGCTTGAAAATATGCCTGGCCACGGTGGGAATCGAACCTACGACCTTTGGAATACCAGCCCAATGCTCTGCCAACTGAGCTGCTCTGCCAACTGAGTGTAGTTCCTTCGATATATATGCAAGTTGCAATGTTTCTTCGATATCAATGCAATATCTATTTCTATGTTTAATAGAAGTCACATTTGGCTACCCAAAGCAACCGAATTTGTTCATCAATTTGGATTTTGGAATTGATCTCAGTTCACGAGGTCAGTGGAAATACACTATTTAATGTCTAGAACAAGTATAAGGTATCGACCTTGACCTTGTTCTACTGATTTTCTTCAGTCCAGGTAACACACCCTTTCACAAAGTACTCAGTCTTGGCTATAGAACCTGTATGATTTCGTGATTGAGTGTGCATACAGTAAGACCCCGTGTATAAGAACCTAGATTTTTCTAGTTAGCCTAAACAAGTTCTTATACAAATGGTGTTTATCGTGAAATTAGGCTAAACAGGTTCTTAAATAGGTTGTTATTTTCTAAAGAAAAAGCGTCTCAATTTCGGTTGGTGTAGGTACAGTGATGTGTTCAAACAAGACATGCTGTTTATTGTTATGACATATCCAGGCTTTCTTGCCATCCTACTTTTCCTACTTTTTCCTACTTTTCTTCAACTTTCCTACTTTTCCTATTTTTTATTAAAAATTGCTTGATTTTCCTACTTTTTCCTACTTTTTCTCATAAAATCCTACTTTTTTAAGACAGCTTGGGGAATCAGTATGTTATAGCTCTCGTAATTTGATCTATAGGACTCGTAATTTTTATTTCCTAGCATCTCTAGAATCATAATTAATCAATAAATTAATGAAGACTCTGAAAGTGCCATTTCCGACGATCTAGAGATTCCAAATATTCAACTCCCCCCCAGTTAATCAAGCATCATATATACAGGGCCGTAGCAACCGGGGGGCTGCAGCTCCCCAATAATTTGCTAATAATCATTTTTTTTCAAAATCATGCAGACCTTTATCATTTAATCCATGACATGCAAACTGCAAAGAATGAAGATATTACCCATACTTTCCTAGTGCAACTTATCGAATGTATAGTTAATTAAATTGTAAATTTCGACATACTAAAACGCTGTTTTCTGACCATTAGAATTCTGTCAAATCTTCCCCAAAGTCCAGGAAATGGCATTTCAGAGACTCTAAATTTAAAAATCTCCTCACTTTCAGCCCCCCACCCCCAATCGAAAAGAGCTTCCTACGGCCCTCATATACGCTCCTGCCGAAGTGTGGATTGGTGCATTGTGTAGCCCAATACATGCATTTGAATTGTGTTGCTGCAGAGCAGAATGAGCAGATGCCTTAGCTTTTATAGCGATGCAATTTAAAAGTTTTGAGAAAAACGTCCTGCATAGATGAATGGGTACATAAAAATATTGAGTACCAAAAATTCATACAACTTCCCCATCAGATATCTAATGGTCTACCCCTTACCACATATATCCTAGGAGGCCAATTTTGTATATTTTTGTGTTATTTGCATCTCCGAAACTCCTACTTTTGTCCTACTTTTCTACACATTTTCCTACTTTATTCCTACTTTTCCTAAAATTCTAGTCCTACTTTTGTCCTACTTTTCTACACAAGGATGCCAGAAAGCCTGCATATCTAGGACTTCTGGGTCATTTTCATTACTTTGTGAATGATAAAGAGAATGATAAAACTTATAATAGTTTTGTTTGTGGAAACACCACGTAAATTTATTACTGCAAAGCTTTCGATCCATAAGCCCGGATCTTCATCAGTGCTATTATATGTTTTATCGACATGCAATCATACAAAGAACTTAATGATAAAACTGTTTCAAATTTTAGCCTGAACAGGTTCTTATATAAAGGGGTCTAACTAAGCAATTTTAGCCTAACAGGTCCTTAAAATCTAGGTTCTTCTACGCGGTGTCTTACTGTAAACAAGTGATTAAGACAGATATACGATGAGTGACTGTCGTTTGTGTTATAGTTGCCGTGGTGGGAAACAACGGAGTGGGAAAAAGTACTTTCTTGAAATTATTAATTGGAGAACTAGATATGGTGAGTGTTGGCTTACAAGGACTGCGTACATTTCCTCTTTAAATGACGACGTTAGATTTACCTTGCGAACTATTTTCTTTCTAGGGTCAAGGAGAATTAATAAAAAACCATCGCGTGGTAAGCATTTTTGATCATTTGAAATTTATTTTATTGTTTTTGCTCTAAACATTTTAATGTTTATTAATCATAACGTTTCTTCCTCCATAGCGGATCGGATTTTACAGTCAACACGCAGCTGATCAGGTGAGGGAAACGTATCAAATGCACAACACACTTCTAAATACTTCCTAATAGCCTGAAGACAGACCTACGTTTTCCGAGCCGCAAATTTTAGGGCGGGCGAAACATAGGTCTGTTTTGAGGCTAACTTCCTAAAGAATTACAGGACAAACACACTGAGCTCCATTTATATCTGGAGCGAGAACTTGAGTCCAAAAAGTGAGGGCGAAGATGGCGGAAATTGAAGAGCTAGTGCACGTCAATCCCTTTCTTTTAACACGAAGCTGGCAAGTCAATCCCTTTCTTTTAACACGAAGCTGGCAAGGAATGTGCCGAAATTTCGTATTTTGACTTTAATTTAAAGAATAATACTGTGGTTTTATAAACTGATAACTTGGTTAGCGATACGGTCTGTCAGGAAAACTGGATTGAGCTGGGAAAATGGGATTACAACTGTTTACCACCTTCATAGCTATTGGACGTCAATTCCGCCATCTTGGTTTCACTTTTCACGTAGGCCGAATAACTTAAGTTCTTGCTCCAGATATATATATTATATATATATATATATATATATATATATATATATATATATATATATATATATATATATATAAGTTTGACCTTCGAATATATATATATGTCGATATATATATATACACTGGATCCAGAAAAGTTTGACCTTCGAATATATATATATGTCGGCCATTTTGAATTTTCTTGGGTTAATTATACGCGAACGCATACATCAAATGTCGCTCGCAACGTATTGTATATTGCAATATTATACCAACAGCTCAAATGAATAAAAGAATCATTGATTGATGTCTTTACACATAATCATAATGCCTAGTAGGAAATGAACATTTGGAAATGAACATAATGGCTAGTAGGAAATGAACGTTTCTGTTTCGCCAGGTCACGAATGCTGCGCGTGCTGAGTTTCAGGGGAAGAAATATCGAATGACTATCGATTCCGTTAAAATTTCCGTTGGCAAAATATAATAATTCTGGACGTAGGTTTCAGCTATAAAATAAGCACAAGTGAATACGAAAGAATAAACAAAGATATTCATCGAGGCATGCTAATAAGCGTCTAAATCTCAAAGGATGCAAAAGAATAAATTACGACATGCCAAAAAGATGGTGGCCCAAACCGGGTGGCCATATAAATATATATATTTAAAGATACCGCAACCATAAGAAATCCTTTAATCTTATTCGGTATGAGAAAGAAACTGAACTGTCGAAGTATATATGGGAACTTAAATTTAAAGGGAAGGCTTTTGCCATCAATTGGTCTATTCTGAAACATTCAACACCCTACGCGTCCGGTAGCACGCGATGTAATCTGTGTAACGAGGAGAAACTATATCCATTATGAAAGCAGACCAGAAAACGTTACTTAATAAACGATCGGAAATCTTCGGAAAATGTCGCCATAAAGATCGGTTCCAAGCTGGAAGTTTTCATCGCAAGCGCGTGCGTCAACGAAAATCACGAAATCAAACAAACTAATTAAACGGACATAAATCGCCTGAAGATCGATCAGACAAGATCGTGAAACTCAGAGTAGCGAAAAAACATGTTATTTTAAGATATTTGTAACGTTAATTATATATATATATATATATTTATATATATATATATTTATATATATATATATATATATATATATATATATATATATATATATATATATATATATATATATATATATATATATATATATATATATATATATCTTGTTTGTCGATGCTGACACGTATCTGAAGAGTGCTCAATGCAGGTAAGATTTTGCAGAGCAAAACTATTATTAGTGTAGACTAAGACATGATATATGAAGATAATTTAATAAAACCTAAACCTATTTACGATAAAAGTTACTCGAATTTCACGCACAAAGGCGTTAACAGTCAGTGTAATTGCCAAGACGAGAATAACTGCCCACTAAACAATGCATGCAAGACAAAGAGCACTGTATACCAAACGAATTCAAAACGCGGTACCGAAACCACAAATCATCCTTCAACAATGTTGAGCACGCTGGAAGTACAACGCTCTCGAAGTTCATCTGGGAATTAAAGGAATCCGACACAGCTTACGCAATCGAGTGGAAAATCCTTAAGCGTGCAAATGCTTATAGGAGTGGAGGAAAGATATGTAACTTGTGCCTATCCGAGAAAATCTGCATTTTAAATGCAGATAAGCAATCACTACTGAATAAAAGATCAGAATTAATAGCTAAGTGTTGTCACGAAAGGAAATTTTACGCTTATAACTACAATCCACCGTAAAAGCACTTTAGTCTGATGATCGCCTTTGTGCGTGAAACTCGAGTAACTTTTATCGTAAATAGGTTTAGGTTTTATTAAATTATCTTCAGATATCATGTCTTAGTCTACACAATAATATATATATATATATATATATATATATATATATATATATATATATATATATATATATATATATATATATATATATATATATACTATATATATATATATATATATATATATATATATATATATATATATATATATATATATATATATATATATATATATATATATAATTAAAATTATATATATTATAATATTATAGAATTAACTTTGAAATTAACTTAGTTTCTAATTTTTGAATGTTTTTAATGTTTTTAAATTAGTTAAATTTCACATTCAAAAATATAATTCGCTCCACAATCTCTGTGTTGAGCACTCTAGCAAAGTGGACAAACCCAACTTGTATA